ATCTACGGACCAGGACTCGGTCATCAGCTACGTGAAGGGCAACACCACCATAGCCCATGGCAACCAGTCGACGGTGGGCTATGTGAAGAGCGAACCGTACAAACGACCAGGCTTCGAACTGCCCCTCGCCAATGGCATACCTTTTCGCATCATGGCCCTTGGCGCATCGACCACCCGCGGCGACTGCCCCGACGTAGATATAGATAACAATGGTTTCCGACGACCCCTCCGCGAAAAGCTCACGGCCATTGGCAACCCCGTCAACTTCGTCGGCACCCAGCGCATCGGGAACATGACCGACAATGACATCGAGGCCTATCCTGGTATTCCTACCCACATCATCCACGAGCATGCGCAGCAAGCCGTGCCTCCTACGAAGCCCAATCTCTTCCTCATCAATGCCGGCTCCAATGATTGTTTCCAACACATCGATATTCCCAACTTCTACAAGCGATACGACGCCCTTGTTCAATACCTCCTAGAGGCCTCCCCGAGATCTACTGTCGTCATGTGCACCATTCTCCCCACCTGGGACACGCGCTTTAATGGGCGAGAGGACGTTTGGCGGGTCAACCCGCAGATCCGGAAGCTAGCCAAGATTTACGAGCAGCAAGGGCTCCCCGTCGTTTTCGCCGAGATGCAGGGTCCCGACGGTATCCAGGACGAGAACCTCGGCCCCGACGGTATGCACCCTGCGACGCCAGGCTATGAGATGATGGCCACCAAGATGTTCCACGCCATCGTGGAGGCGGACGCGAAGGGCTTCCTGCAACGGGCCGAGTACGTACCAGGCATCCTCGACGATGGCAACGAGGAGCGCATGGATGAGGAGTGGCTCGAGAGGTTCAAGCAGCAGCAGGAGGAAGAAGACGAGGCCCGCAGCGCCGAGGAGGAGGAGATCGAGAACATGAAGGCCGAGCTAGCGAAGGACAGGGCCCAACAACGTGCACAGAAGGTGAGGGAAGAGGAAGGACTGGTAGAAAGACGGTTTCCTAGATTGTTGATCGTATAAGAAGAAGAAAAAGGAGCGAAAAAGTGGAAGATGGAGATTCTTTGTTCTCCCTGGTCCAGACCTTTTATATCAACCCACTGGCATTGCGGAGAGGATCGGGCATAACTGTTTAAGCGAGACCTTTTCCTTTTTGTTTTTTTGGGGGGGGCTTTATATGTTGTAATGTGTATGTATACGTGTTGTAGGTATAAGAACAGAGGGGACGAGTATAAATAGGGGGTAAGGAGGGTCCCAGTATGTGTACGATGCTTCACGGCCGAAAAGACGATAAGAGAGAAGGGAGAGAGACAGTCTAAAAGACTGTTTAAGTAGGTACATAGACAAAATAATTACTACTTAATATACCTATAGTAACATAATGCACGAGTAGGATATAACTTGAAGATGTCGTATATATGCACCTGGTGTGTATTGGTAGATGTAGATGATGCGATAGGTAGTGTGCTGAATCTGTTCATATTAAGGGGGTAGATGTTTTTGCTATTGAGTACAGATTAGGTAGGTAGTTACACCCCCACCTTCACCCCCTTGAGAAATCCAGGTCCCCGGGCTTTCATCTAACCTATGTATGTAGAAGGATTTCGCTGTAACCAGTTCACCAACATTAATATCGCACTACCTACCTATCTTCTGGTACCGGAAGATGTGGTACGGTACTCTGCAACTTTTTTGGTAGGTAGGTAAGGGGAGAGAGTTAATTTAGATTGAGTTTTACCGGCGCGGTGGTTCGCGTGGTTAGGTAGGTAGATAGGTAGATGTAACCAATGTGTTTTGGGTCTAGCACGGGGGTACTAGTGTAGTGTAGTGTAGATAGGTACTAAGTAGTAGGTAGGTAGTGTCGATGTGTTGGAGATTGGTGTAGGTTAGGTAGTTGGGGTATGGTATGTATGTAACCTCGGTAGGTTGGTTGGTAGGTTTAGATGCGAGTTGATGGGGTTAGGCTTAGTATTACTTTGATGCCATGTCCCTTCGCGTGGTGGTGGGGGGGTTGGGTGCTGGTTGGAGTATATCGGAATATGTCAATGCCTCTAACTATGTACCTACATAGATACTACCTTGTGTACTTACATAGTAGTTCAGGTAACGTTAGGAGAATGTCTAGGTTAGAGTGTAACACCAAATAGCAGACAGGTTATTAAGGTTAGGTTATTTGTGTCGATCGGGTTTCAAATTTTTTTTTTGTGTTTAGCTGAACCTTAGATATACACAGTATACCTAGGTACCTACCTAGCTGGTAACGTCAATAAGGACATAGCTATTGGCGTGTTTACAGCCTCTCTCCTGGTATCTTATCATCCCCTTTACCACACACACACACACACACGCACACATCTTTTTACATTGCCGATCTGTGTATAATGCCTCTATATTACGTAGGGAAAAAAAAAACGGGCACGTAAAGCGGGATTCTCACATGCAATAGTATACTTCAAGATCAGTGTTTTTTTAAGGAACATCAAATGTACCCCTTTTCTAGGCGCCTTTCCCTTCCCTCGGTCTCGTCGGTTACAACCCCCCTTTTTCTTATCTTATCTTGTCTTCCTTTTTGATTCTTTTGCCTTCTTTCTTCTTTCTTATTCTTATATCCATTCCTCAATCCCCCTCTAGGTAGTACCTACCTACCTACCTGGTCTCTGCGCTACCTAAAGTGGGCTCGGGCCCGAGAGAGAGGGGGAGGGAGAGAGGACCATAATTGCGGAACCCACGGAACGGGGACGGGCAGTGCAAGATCACGGTGGACCACTTATATGGGTAGGAGGTAGGTGGGTACCGGTTATGTATACTTGGGATCCTTCTACATCGTGTGTGTCGTCGCCGTCGTCGTCGTAATCCAAGCGGGTATAAGAGAGAAGAGGGGGTGGTTGTACGCGTAGACTATGGATAGGTGGATGGATGGATGGATGGGAAGGGGGCAGGGAGATGGGAAAGAGATACCTAGGTAGTGCATGTAGAAAGGGCACGGGTGTTGATCCATGGGAGAGTATCTAATACTTACTGTTTGTTGCTCAACGCTAAGTACCTATGTTTTTGCAATGGTACCTAGGTATGGGAGGACAGAGAGGTGTGAATAAAGAACTCCTTGCATAAAATATTTATGTGCCTACCTACCTAGGTATTTACGCATGGATACAGAGAAAACTATGCATATTTGAGATGTTGAAGAAAGAAAACTTTTTGCGAGGCTATTATCTGGTTTTTGTGTGTATCCTATCCAAGTTACTTCTGTGAAAAAGGAGGGGAACTCGTATATAAAGAGCGGTATATAACATTTATATACACTACATTAAGATAGCAAGCAGTATTATCCGGAGGAGTTGGGTTGAGCGCCGTGAACTAACACCTCCTATTACTAGCGGTTTCCTGCGTGAGGGAAGGATTATTTCCCCCTATTACTTTCACTTGCGAAGTAGAGGCTTTGAAAAATAGTACAAACCCAGATTTCTTTCTCCGCTTCGATAGTAACTCAGCTTCTCGGTAATACATGCTACAAATGTGTGTCTTTCGTAAGACGAGAGTAACAACATTAGTAAGGGGAGTTATGTATATGATCTACGGAGTCTCGGGTATGGCCTTGGGAATATATATATCTATATGGATGTATTACATACATATAATACTTGGAAGTACCTAGTTAGCGGATATATGGTAGTCCTAAAGTCCCCAGTCTCTTTAAGTCTTTCCTGCAGTTCATGACTACCCTGTCACTAGACTCAAAGTATTCTTGGTTCCCGTTGTCTAAGGTGATCCTTTAATACTTGACGGAAAGTATGTACCTGGGAGCGGTGACCTATGTTGTCATCGGTTAGTAGGAGGCCTGCACTTATTCAACACAGAGAGTCTCAGCTCTTCTGGAAACTCTATCTGGGACCGATGGCATATATATAGTCGATCTACTTAGTCTCGCCGTTCTTCGGATGTCTAATAAGGGGTATGTTACACCTATGCTAAGTCTGACTTCTCTGAACTATGGAAAGTTTTGATAATAACACTTCGAAGCAACTTGGAAGACTTGGCGTTTTCTTGGATCAAGTTCACTCATTCGAGCAATGGACACGAACACACTTCCCCTTCGAGCCTTGAATCACTATCCATAGAACCTATATGGTAAGTTACCTAACTGGGGGCTGGAATCAACGGTCCCATGGCGCAATCGGTTAGCGCGTCGTACTAATAATGCGAAGGCTCTGAGTTCAATCCTCAGTGGGACCAGCTCTTGTTTTTTGTCTCTATATATCTCACGATGGCCAGATAAGTAGACATGCCGTCCTTTCTGTTGTTGGCAGTTATCAATGCGTGTATACTGAAACTGTAAGGTACCCAGCGCCGGCGGCTATGCCGAGGTGTTGTTAAAATGGAGTCATAAAACTACTATTTATGTGGCGTAACTAGAATTATACTCACCAAGTATTACTTAATAGATGCTCGCATTATCTTCATGCATCTCTGATATATCGCTTTTTTATATACTAGGGTAACTTAGAAACACGTAAAAGAGTATGTATTGTAGGTCTAAGTGATCTCATGTGTGAGGGAGAGGAGTCTCCTTATATAGACAAAAGGAGCTCCGAACACCCACATCCATGCTCCAAGAACTGCGTGATCTATTCTAGTGTATGGAGATTCTCCATGAGAATACCCTCATCCGAGACATGATATATCTATCTATTCTTTTGTTCAGCTTCAGTTTGCCACGGCAATTCCCAACTATACTTATTGTTCCAAAGAGAAAAAAAAATCATCCTCAAATATGGGTTGGTTATCTCATGCTTAATGGTATTAGGCCTGAGGTTTAAGTAAGAGTTCTCAATGTCATACTCAGATTTTATTTGACAGCACATCTTTACATGGTAGAGTTATGGACTTAGGGGCTTCGGGCACAGTATAGCCCCGGACACTATTGTCTGGTACTCTTAAGACTTATCTCCTGAATTAGTTGATGGTTAAAAAGTAGAAAGCACCTAAACACTATATGTTCAGATGAGCATGCTGGTCCCACTGAGGATTGAACTCAGAACCTTCGCATTATTAGTACGACGCGCTAACCGATTGCGCCATGGGACCGCGAATTGGATGAGTTGCCGGCCTTTTATAGTCTATTATATCATACTGGGATTTTTGGGGGGAAGCGAATACAGCTCGAACGATAGGATTTTGTGTATAGTAGAGTAAGAGGTGATTTAGTAATGTTTGGTGAAACAGGGCCACCTATTAAAGACTGTAAAGTTCTTTAGGTCTACCTTGTTACTCACTCTTACTACTCGGTATTGATATGAACTTGAGTGGTGACTATGGGCTCTAAGCATTGTGCGTGTATCCCCCTTTACTATATGGATCGGTTGGGTGATACCTAACCAGCTTATTAGACCTGTCTTCTAGGTCTTGTCACGAATCCTCATAATTAGTGTAACTTAAACATCGTGTGTGTGTGAGAGGGCCTGGATCATCTATAGAGACGATACAAAATAATATACCCGGGCCGCAGGCTATGGAGCCCTGTGGTTCTACAGCAGTTCCAATTGAGTAGGTAATATGCCGTGGCCAATACCGATATGCTCTGATTTTAGGAGGCTTAGTCGAATGATACCGGGTATAATACATCATCAATAACTTAGGCGATGCAGATTGTGAAGCCTTTAATCACGTGGGTTCCATATGCAATATAGAATAATAGGCCATTGATAGGTTAAAACAAGCTTATGCTTACAACATAGCCCCTTATACGAGGACAGCAAGCACTTGTCAGCCGCAGATGTTAATACACTAGATTAGGTAAACAGGGGGGAGGAAGATGGGGGCCAAAACGCTAAGCCGCATCTGTTGCTTATGTTGCACCATGATCGCCTATAAGTAGCTAGCTAGAGCTAGACTTATTACATACATAGTATTACATTCTACATACACCTTAACCTGAGATCTCCGGGGAATTAGAAGAAAAGAGAGAGAAAAAAAGAAAAAAAGAAAGGCTGCAGATGCTCAAGCGACGCGCCTTGCAAAGATTCGAAAGTCCAACCCCCCTTTCAAGTGGTTTGTCTTACAAACATCACGACCTAGGCAACACAACGAGTTTCTAGATTTCCCCTCACGAATGAGGGTACAACCATAACTTCATTTCCCGCCAGTTTACATAGTACAATAGTATGGTAACCCCACAACCACGATTTCTTGATGGCTTCTCAAGACAGCGTAGCTAGCACCCAGCCCGACCAACGACACCTCCGCCTCATCGCCGCCTCGGCACAGGCGAATGAAGCCCGAGTAAACGACATCCTGGCTGAAGAGCCGCCGTGGACCTCGTCTACCGACCATGATGCCCTGCGGCAAGCTCTGCAGAAAGTCGCTGCTCGCGGCAAGCTCTCCATCGTGCGCCTGCTCCTCGAGCACGGCGCCGAGGTCAATGTGAGGCGCGAGAGCGAGTCGCCCGCCTTGGTCAAGGCCGCCGAGGGAGGCCATACCGCCATCGTGTCCGAGTTGCTCGAGCGCGGTGCCGACCCCAACGCGCGCGGCCGCACAGGCCAGACGGCCCTGTTCAGCGCCTGCATGAGGGGGCACAACAAGACCGTCGAGGTCCTGCTGAGCAAAGGCGCCGACATCGAGGCTCTAGACAAGGAGGGCCGCTCCCCATTGCTGTTCCTCGCCTCGGAGAAACCCACCAAGGCGAAGTGGACGGTAGACACCCTCAAGCTGCTGGTAGAAAACAAGGCCGACCTCGAGGTGAAAGACCACATTGGCCGCACGCCGCTGCTCTGGGCGGCTACGAACGGCAATGTCGAGCTTGCGCGCGTGCTTCTGGAGAACAATGCCAACATATCGGCCACGAATTACCGAGGCCGCACGCCCTTGCATCTGGCCGCCGAGAGCAACGATAAGACGCATCGCGCCGAGATGGTCAAGCTTCTCCTCGACTACCATGCTAACCCCAGTGCCGTCAGTGATGGGGGCTGGACGCCTCTCCATAACGCGACGCAGAGTGGCCATATTGATATCGTCAACCTGCTGTTGGGTGCTAACGCGAATTTGAACGCAGAACTGTCCAATGGAATGACTCCCCTCCACTGGGCGGCTTTCAATGGCTCCGAGGACATCGTCCGGGTGCTATTGGAGAAGCCTGGTATCAATTTGAACGTGAAGGACAGCTTCGACCGGACGCCGATGCTCTGCGCCGCCGAGAAGCACCATGCCGGGATTGTCCAGTTGCTGTCCCCCGCACGGTCTGCTCACCGCCTGTCGCCACTCCAAGTCGAGGCGTGCAAGGCCTTCGAGGCCACGATTGTCGACTTCGGGCAGTTTGAAAAGAAGCAGCTTGTATCGAAGCACTCTGTATACGAGCTCCTGTACGGGTGGGACCACGAGAATGACAAGCCCAAAGTGCCTACTCTGACGAAGAACATCAAGTACGAGCCTGACTTCAGATGGATCCATCTTCCAGCAAATAATGTGATTTCTTGAGCTTCCTGCTGCCCGCTGAACAACACCGGCTAACACTTTGTAATAGATCACCTGGGTTGAGGTAATGAACTGAGTGTCTTCTCTGATCTCGTGTCGTCCACGCAATGCTTATAAACCTTTCGTCTAGACTCTCCTCGCCAAGTCCTTCATCGAAGCGGGGCACCGGGACATTGAATCGTTCAAGGCGCTGGAGAAGTGCTTCGACCAAGAGCACCGGGGGCCCTTCGCCCACGCCCATTTCATGCGGACCTTCTGCCACCGCATCCCGGCGCCGCGGAGTGACGCATCGGAAAAGAAGGACGACAAGTCCCTCACGACCCTTTCGGAAGAACACTCGGAGTCAAGCACGCGGCCGACACACCACGGTAACGGAGAGTCCACGCCGAAGAAGCAACCTGATCTTGCCGAAAACGGCACCGGGGCCAAAAAGAAGAGCAAGGCCGAGCTGTTCGCCGAGCGTCATCCCAAAAAGAGCAAGCGAGCCAGGGGTCCTCCCGGTAACCCTCCCCACAGGCAAGATAGCAACTCCAGCAGTCTGAGCGGAAGGTTCTCCGCACCCCTTGCCTGGGAGACGTCGAGGTTTGCAGCTTCGAGCGGGAAGATAGTTTTGTTTGTACGAGAATCCCCCTTCATGTCGCACATCCACACTATTTTTGGAGTTAATCTGCTAAACCAGTGTGTATAGATGCCGTTCCTGCATTATGAGACAGATGAACGGCGCCGGATGATGAGTAGCGCTATCAAGGTCGTCCGAGAGGGCCGGCGCCTGTCTGATAACGACTCTAGAGATTCTCTGCTCGTCAAGGCCTATTTGAATAGCACACCACCTCTCCACCCCCGCAGGACGCTTGACCAGTTCTTTTACCACGGCATTGACACCTCAGCTAGAGATACGGATCAAGTAGTGTATAGGTACTGCAAGAGACATCACGTGGAAACGAAGGTGTTCATGGTCGACCAGCTATGGCTCTGGGTCATTGGCAAAGGTAAACATCATCTTTCATGTCTCCCGATCGGCTGGAACAGACCGCAAGCTTACTGTTCTCCTCGTAGACCTGATTATTACATGTTTCCCGCAGCGCTGGGACCAGCCAAAGCAGGACCCCTTGAACGTCCTCGACGGCATCATCGAGGAGACGAACGCCAAGACGCGACCGCTGATCCAGTCTGTCTACGACCTCGCCATGTTGATTACGAGCCGGTGTTCCGGCCTGTTCGACCGACATCGGCTCGACGACCAAAACTACCAGTTCCTCGACATGTTTGAGAATAGCATTGGCGTTGTAACCGACCGTGAGAGCCGGCTCTTCAGCCGCTTCAACCGCGCCTCGGCGCAGTCGGCGCAGTGGCTGCAGCTCCACCGGCGGCGGAGACAGTTGGGCCGCCCCGCCCACCTCTACGACTCCTCGTCCGACAACTCGGACTCAGATTCGGACGACAATGGGCAGCTCCAGGATGCGGACCGGTTCCCGGACGCGCTCCTCGACATCGGCGTCGAGACGTCGCTGCTCGCCGAGATCAAGGACATCCGCGACGAGCTAACCATCATCGCGGTGATCCTCGACTCGCAGTTCGCGACCGTATCCGACCTCGAGGCGTCGGTGACGGACGAGCTGCGGGGCGGGGGCGTGCCAGGTGAAGGGGGCCCGGGCATCGCGGCGCCGTCGCGGCGCAGCATAGACGGGGCCGTGGCCGAGATACGGCGGCGGGCGAAGGAGCAGCGCCGGGGCTTGGAAATGCGGCAGAACGACATCCGGCGCATGGATAGCCAGGCGCAGAGCCTGTACGAGAGCCTGACGGACCTGCTGGACCTGAAGCAGAAGCACTCGAACGCGCTGGAGGCGCGGTTCGCAGGGGACCAGGCGGTCATCGCGGCGAAGCAGGGGCAGACGGTCATGGTCTTCACCATCGTGACGATCGTGTTCCTGCCCATGTCCTTCATCGCGGCCTTCTTCGCCATCAACCTCGAGGACTGGGCCACGACGCCCCTGACCATTGCTTATGTCAGCAAGTACATGTTCGGCATCGGCCTCGGCATCAGCATCCCGCTCATCGCCATGGCCTTCAAGGTGACGGACATCGCGGACGGGGTGGCGGGGATGTTCGGTGGGGCTCGGCGGGCGGTACGCCGCTGGGCCAGGAGCAGTAGCAAGAGGAATAATAATAATAATAAGAAAAAGAAGAAGAATAGAAATAGCAAAAACAAGAATAATGACAGGAAAGGAAGGGCCAGCGGCAGCAGTAGGCGGAGGCGGAAGAGCATGAGGAGAGGCAAGACCGGGTATATATACAGCACGGACGACTACGACGACGATGACGACAGCAGCGACGCCCACACGGCGGGGGTGAAGACCCCGCTGCCCCCGGGCAAACTGTCCCTCTCCTCGCGGCGCGACGAGCTCCCGCTCGGGGGCCTCCGGGACCACCACCGGCAGTGGGACGCGTTCTCGGCGCGGCTGCGCGCGCTGCCGAGCCGCGAGCGTGACGCCGACCACGCGCTGCCCTTGACGACGCTGCGGAAGGCGAGTCTCGGGAGCGGCGGCGGCGGTGCGGGGGGCGTGTCCTGGGCTCGGCCGAGCTTCGAGCGTAGGGGCGGGATCGGGACGAGGTTTAGC